AGCCAGCACCACAGATTTCATCCAGTTGCTGCTTGCCGCCTGAAATGGAGTGCCTTCCTCTCGAGGAGCAGAGGTAAATTTCGCTTAAAATACTTTTCTACTCCCTTTTTCCATTATTTTCACCTAGTGGCCAATGATCCGATATCATTGTCATCGACTTTGCATTTTATCTGTGATAATTTGGCTCATTATAATATATAAAATATTGCAACACGATAAACGTAAGCATTGAAATCAGTGCTGGTATATTTTGATATGATTTATCCAAGTTACTACAAATTGTGCTTATCCTTAGAGGAGACTTTCGTATTACTTTTAATGAATGTGAAGCTTAATTATTGTCCTTGACTTAAGAGAGTTGCCACCCTCATTCCTCTCATTTTTGCATCAGATGGTTTCATCCTGACCTAACACGTTACGCTGCAGAAGGTCTGTTAAGAAACGAATGCGAAGGCAGTTTTCTTATACGTCGGAGCGAGACTATTCGGACAGACTACTCCCTAAGTATCAAGTAAGCATTATTTCTCGTTAACCGCACAATTCTTAATTTTCATCGGAACACTGCTATATAATGGCGACAATAAGCTTCATGGGAATTTAAAATTCTTGCACAATTTGATAGCTAAATTCGTTTATTTGCTGAATGCATTTATATGCTTTATCCTAGTAATTACGACCTAATATATGTCTGAGGGACTTTGTTAAATGATTTTTTTTTGATAGTACACAAAAGATAGTAAAAATTACTGGCTGTCATTTTTAACATCTTTTTAAGTAATCCAGCCTATCCAGAGTCAAAATCTCAGTCTGCTCCAATCTTTAAATGTAAATGAAGCGCCTATCAATTTTTATTGTTAACAGAATGAAGTATCTAGCTCATCCTTGATATTCTCCTGTGCTTATCCCTTTACTTCATCTTGTTTCTACTGCTATGTCCATTCATTGGTTACTTTTTCGGTGAATCTAGTTTGTATCTTATTTTATTTATCTAGCAATTCAGTTAGAATAAGACTTAGCTTGCACAGTATTTCCTCTCATTTATTGACAGAAAAATTAAACATTTAGGGAGCTGAGACGGGGACATAAAATTTAAGCTACTGAGATTAAAGAGAAGAGAAATGGATAACTAGTTCAAAGCTATAAATGATGCAATTCCATGTAAGTTATTCTATTTTATCGCGTCTTTCAACCCTTTACATCAAGATTCTTTACCTTAGTTCTACAATGAAATCGAATTGCCGCGACAACCTCTTTGTTCCTGATCCAGCGCCGGCGAAGCAGGCGAATTGAAATCTCACCATTTATTTATCTATTTATATATAGTACAACCTCTTCCTACATGTGATCATAGGTCGGAAATACGGCTACCAATGATACTTACGGTTACATAATACTGCAATTATACCTTGATCCTTACCCTTCAGTGGGACCCGTCTTTTGAAGGGCTTAATATTGAAATATTAATCTTATCTTCGGTGCTCCTTTAGCGTACAGACTCTATTCTACTTTTTTCAAACCTAGACATAGCGGCTTCTTGCACATGAAGATTTCTCGGAACCCGAAAGGCCAGTACATTCTCGGCGAATATAGCCAACCTTACTCCAGCATCCCTCAAATGATCTATCATTACGCCCGTACCCTTGTTCCCGTGCGCGGCGCCGATACAGTCACTCTCTGCAACTCTGTTCTACGTCAATCTCTCTAGTACTATAACTCTATTGCAGCTAATCTTGAACTTTTCTACTCTACTTGTCCTCAACTCCTCTCTGCTCTTCTATACTATGATATAAAATACTTTGCTATGATATTACCGCCATGCTTTCTTAAATAGTTCGTTTCGTGGACTGGCCCTGAACTATTTATATACCATTATATGGTTGGCGGACTTCCTGCTAATGACATATTTTATTTGGTGCCTTGCCAGAGAAACGTATGCCGGCGCTGCTCGCATCTTGACCTTTGCTGACAAATTTTGGTCATATATGCTCATCAGAACTTGTCACAGCTCAGCTGCTCTTCAGGTGGACTTATGTCATTCTTATTCAAATCTACTTGTTGACCCAAATTTCTGCACATAAATAATTAATTTAGCTATCAATATTTATGTATTTTGAGCGTATCCAAATGTAGATCTTACTTTCCTCCAATTGCATATTTATAAGGGAAAAACGATCTTCTCTTTCTTTTACTCTAAACTCTACGTCAAGTTATTTAGACTGAATTTTCTGCCTATC